CTTGCCCTTTGTCTCTCCCCAGAGAGCACAAGCACCCTATAGCAAAACAAAAACAAGAAAGTGTATCTTAGTTATTGTTCTTATGTCACTTGAAAAACACCTTTCTTTCTTTTTATTATTTTATTTAACTTTATTTATTTTAATTTGACCAAGGAGGGACAGAGTGAGAGAGAGAGAGAGAGAGAGAAAGCAAGCCTCCAGGCCTAGTACTCAAACCGTAGTTGGCCATGTGGGAGTCCAGCGCCCTCAACCACCACGCCACCTGCTGGCCCCACTTGAAAAAACACCTTTCTCATTCTAACTTTATGGTTGCCTTTGACTTCCTTGCCTAGAGGGACCACACATTATTTATCTGGGTGCACATGTAGCTCGTTTCCAGCCTTTGGCAATTATGTTCAATGTTGTAATACATGACCTCGTCCACATGCCACTTTGCATGTGTGCTGGGGAGCCTGCGGAGAAAGCCCCACAAGGGGAACAGCTGGGCTAGTCGGGTCTGCGTGCAGGGGCGAAGGGATGGAAAGGTCAGGCTGCCCTCCCTGGAGAGGGCACCAGGCTCACTCCCACCAGTCTGTCTGCTCTGCCTGTTCCCCCTGGTTTTGCCGGAACAGTGTGTTATCAAACTCTGTGAGCTTTGCCAATCTGATATTTGAATAATGACATGTCGGTGTGGTTAGACATTTTAAAACAGCAATTATATTGGTGGCTGTTTACGGAGCAGGAAGGCCCCGTGCCAAACACACGTTACACGTGACGTGATGCTCATTTCTCACGAGGAATGGCTGCAAGCAGATAGCAGTTGCTCCATTGGATATAAGAGAAAACTGAGGCCCGGAAAGTTTAGCCACTTCCCTAAGTTCCCATAGCCTCGCAGAGCAGAGTAGGGATTTGAGCCCAGATCACTTGACTTCGGCATATGCTCCTTCCTCATTCCAAGCTGCTGAAGAGACCCCAGGCCTGGGACTGGCATGGGGTATGGTGGTTAAGGCACTGGAGTCTTACCTGGCTGACCACAGTTCGAGTCCCATACCTGGTGGCTTACTTTCTTACTTTCACTCTCTGTCTTGCTCTGGTCAAATTTTTAAAATAAGAATAATGAATAAAATAAAATAATTATTTTAAAAATGTATATATACTCCAGACCTAAGGATCACTCTCCCACAGTCCCCCGGCCCAAGCTCTGGGCCCACTAGGGATATTGTTCCTTAGGGTGGGGTGTTGGATATAGACCTGATCCCCCACAGCCTTCTCCGAGAAAGACCCCCAGGGACCTGCCTCTGCCCTCCCAAAGCATGGGAGGGCCCCCACCCTAGTCCTGAGGTCTGGGCAGGTGAGCATCCCTGGAGGGCAAAGCTAACCCCGCCTCCCTTGGTACTCATAGGATTCGACCTCCACAGATGCTTCCCTGGGCCTCTCTTCCTTTCTGCCCTTCCCAGGCAACCCCCAGACCCCGTGGCCACCCCTGTGGCCTGTCCATGTTCTGCACTGGTCCCTCGGCTCGGCACCTCTACTCTCTGAGTCCATGCCCAGGCCTCTTTGGCATAACTAACACCCAGCTGGTGAGCGTTTCTGGCTTCTCTCCGGGCTGCCTAAGCTTCAGGAGTCCTCCTTGCTGACCCTGGGCAGGTCTTTGGGCCTCTGACAAACTGTCAAGTGCCTCCCAAACCTACCAGTTCTTCCAGGCTGGCCTATACCCCAAAGAAGCCTGAGGAGACTCCAGCTGCCAGGAAGGCTGGTCGCCATTGTACCACCAGACAGGAGGCTCTGAGATAGTGACAGTGAGGATATTACTACTACTAAGATTTTTTTCCCCTGCTTTCCTCCCCCTAGGCCCCAATGGCCCTGCAATGATTCCGAACTTTGACCCCTGCCCATCCAGCACGGGTGGAGCAGGAGGCTCTGTCAACAGCAGGACAACCTCGTTAACCGAATGTCAACAGGATTAAAGGCTCTGATGGTCTAGGAGACAAGTGTGATGAGACATGACATGATGGCATGGAAGCCTTCCTGAGGCAGTGGCTTGTGTGTGTGTGTGTGTGTGTGTGTGTGTGTGTACGCATGTGAGAGAGAGAGACAGAGAGATACACACAGAGACATGCAGAGAGCAGAGATGGGACAGTGAGTGAGTTTGTGAACGCGTGAGAAAAATGAAGATTGAGCACCAAGAAGCGGTGTACCTTGGGAAGCCGTCTGAGAAAGCTGTGGACGGCGTCCCCAGGGACTCAGAATGGCAGGTTTGTCACTCAGGCAAGATGAGCTGTATCAAGCACCCACTGGATGTCAAGCTCTGCAGTTGCCAGGGGCAGGCAGGTGGGAGCTCAGAGAGCAAAGGGAGAAGGTCGACTTTGTCCTGGAGCTTCCGGACACATGGAGAAAGGGGCACGGCTGACATAACAAGATCTCTGGCCAATGCCCTTGGGGATGCTGCAGAGAGGCTGGGTGACTCTGCAAGCCAGGTGCAGATGCGGCCTGCACAGGCACACATGGAGGAGGCATGTGACCTGGGAGCCTGGTGTGAGGCCCGGGGGAGGATATCTTTGCAGGTCTGCCAGGCTAAGCAAATTTGCAGGAAGGTGCCAGAAGCAGAGGGTGCTGAGTACTCCTGCGGGGAGGGAGATGCTGGAGTCCTGGGTTCAAGTCTCAGCTCTGCCATTTTCTGGGTGTGTGATCTTACTAGGGGATTTTCTTCTCCGAACCTCCGTCTCTCCTCCTAGAATAGCAGGATGATAATAGCAGGGTTGCTAGGAAGTTTACAGGAAAGCCCTCGGCACACAGTAGGGCTCTGTGACTGCCTTCCCCTTCCCCTTATCCCAAGTTCCTGGGAAGATCAATAGAATCTCCTTGAATGGAACTGGCCCTGGAAAGAAACTGGGTGAAGCCAGATGAATGGGAAAGAGGATCGGTTGATATCTGATGTTCTTCCAATATCTGGCCCCGGGATTTTTCAGTCCAGAGCCAGGGGAGTTGTGGGTGGGAATCCCAGGCAGTCAGCCCAGACTAGCGGGACGAACACCACCCATCCGGCCAGAGAACAGTCGCCCAGCCCCACTGAGGCCCCGCCTCGTGCACACCCCAGGGTCCTCCTTGGAGTGGTGCCCCAGCAACAGGGAGTCCCAGGGCTACTGGTTTCAGCCAGGGCCAGAAGAGCGGCTGTGCCCTTGCTGCCCAGGCTGCTGGCTGGCACAGACAAGCAGGCAGGCTGGCCAGCGGGCACTCCCGCAGTGTAAATTCCACATTTGCATCCTGGATATTCCCAGCCCCAAGGGCCGCTGACCTTTACAGCCGCTGCCTCGGTCCCTCTTCCCCTTCCAGGCCTCTAGGCTCAGCCAGGCTGACCACTGGATGCTGGAGCCTTTATAAACAGGAGGGCCAGGGGGGCCAGAGGCTGGAGGACAGGAGCCCCAGGAAATGGGCCCTGCAGACCCCAACTTATTCTCCCCTCTCTCCCCAGCCAAAAGGAGCCTTTGTCCCCGATCCAGCATCAGCTCCCTCCCCAGCCAGGATTCCCTCCGCCCCCCACTACGAGTCACTGCCTGCTTGGGTCCCAAGATTAGCAGTGTCACCGAGACATCAGTCGCCCCCAGCTGCCTGTGACATCTCCCTGGGGATTGCCCCGTCTGTGCTGAGTGGCAGTATCGCTGAGCACACTGTCAGTTTTTCTGGGCTCAGCATTCAGGCCTGTGCTTCCAGGGTGTGGAACCCCCTCCCAGCCCACCTCACCCCCACCTTGCCCCCCGAGGACTCCTGTCACAGGTACCCTGGTCAGCCTGCTGGCTGGACAACTTCCCTCAGATGCATCTAAATTAAAATCCATCTACTGGCGTCCAGGAGAGCAGGCTCTGACCTTGGCCTCAGGAACAGAGATGTGTCTAGAAGAATCACAACTGGGAGCATCTGTTTATTAGTATTTATTGTTCGTCCCCAGAGATCTCCTGGGTCAGGTGCTGGGGATGTTTCAATGAGTGTTATGGGTTGAACTCTGTCCCCCCACCCCCACCACCACCAAGGATATGTTGAAGCCTTTATTCGCAGCACCTCAGACCATGACCTTGTTTAGAAATAGGATCATTGCTGGGACCAGCAGATGGCATAATGGTTACATTGCTGGACTTGCACGTAGTCAACGGTGGTTTGAGTCCTAGACCCGGTGGCTTAAACTCATACCGGATATGTGTGTGTGTGTGTGTGTGTGTGTGTGTGTGTGTGCGCGCGTGTGCTCAAGATCCTGAGAGGAGAATGGAGGAGAAAGGATTATGGTGTGGCCAACCCCCCCATGTGTGGAGGTGATTATTCATTATCCGTCTCTCTCTGGTGAGTGTACCTGCCCTATAGCAAAAATCTCTCTTAAAAATAAAAAATAAGATCATTGCAGTTGTAATCAAGGTAAAATGAGATTATAGGCCTCAGACGTGGGACAGCAGCAAAACTGGATATCCTGCAAGGTTGACTCACTTGGGAAGGTTCCAGGTTCATGTCTGGAGAACTCCCTGAGGATGCCCAGCACATGTGTGTCATGGCCTGGGGTTGGCTGGGCTAGGGGTGGACTGTGGCATGGAGATTCTTGGGGGTACTGTCTTCTCTCTCTCTTTCTCTCTCTCTCTCATGCATGTGGAAGTCATAGTAAATAACACATTAATAACATGAGATTATACTGATGTAGGGTGGCCCTGAATCCTTAGTGTCCCTGTGAGAAGAGCAATGGCTTGGTGAAAACACAGAGAAGAGAAACCGTGTGAGGGCAGAGGTGGCGATCGGAGCGAGCACCAGTGGAGCTGAGGGACACCACGGGTTGCTGGCAGCCGCCAGATGCTAGGATGGGACAAGGAAGAACTTCCCCTGTGGGATTTTGGTGGGAGCATGACTCCGCCGGCATCTGACTTCACATTTCTGACCTCCAAAACTGAGAGATAATCAGACCTGCTGGTTTTAGGGTGCTCAGTGCACGGGCCTCTGTCAGGGCAGCCTGAGGACACCGAGACGGTGAGGGACCCGGTCCAGCCTGCTGCAGTGAGCGAGGTAGCAAGGGATGGACATGCACTAAGCAAGTCACAGGTAAATGTATAATAGCAGATATACATATACATGACACGTGCCATACACATGTGTGTCAAATACATGACACTTGTCATGGTAGCTGATCTTTATGGGGTGTTCACTACCTACCTGGCACTGTTACAAGGATAAACATACATGTGTGTGTATGTATGCGTACATATATACTCATGTATGTGCGTATATACACAATATGTGTATATATTATAAGTTGTAGTATATAATATATAATATAGTATGTGTATGTATGTATATATACATGTATGTGCGTATATATACAATATGTGTATATATTATATGTTGTAGCATATATTATATAGTATGTGTGTGTATATACACACATGTATGCGTGTATATACAATGTGTGTATATATTATATGTTATAGTATATATTATATATAGTGTGTGTATGTGTGTATATATACATATGTGAATATATTAATGTTATAATATATAATATATTACATACAATATGTGTGTATATATATATAAAATCTCTATTAAGCCCCACCCTAAATTAGGAATTGCTCTCCTCTCACAAGGTTCATTTTATAGATGTAGAAACTGAGGGACAGAAAGGTCGAATACCTTGCCTGAGGTCACACACTGGTTTCCATCCTGATGGTGGAAACCCCTCCCAGCCCACCCCACCTATACCCAGCCCCCAGAGGACTCTTGTCACAGGGAGGCGGAGAATGGAGGAGAAAGGATTATGGTGTGGCCAACCCCCCCATGTGTGGAGGTGATTATTCATTATCCGTCTCTCTCTGGTGAGTGTACCTGCCCTATAGCAAAAATCTCTCTTAAAAATAAAAAATAAGATCATTGCAGTTGTAATCAAGGTAAAATGAGATTATAGGCCTCAGACGTGGGACAGCAGCAAAACTGGATATCCTGCAAGGTTGACTCACTTGGGAAGGTTCCAGGTTCATGTCTGGAGAACTCCCTGAGGATGCCCAGCACATGTGTGTCATGGCCTGGGGTTGGCTGGGCTAGGGGTGGACTGTGGCATGGAGATTCTTGGGGGTACTGTCTTCTCTCTCTCTTTCTCTCTCTCTCTCATGCATGTGGAAGTCATAGTAAATAACACATTAATAACATGAGATTATACTGATGTAGGGTGGCCCTGAATCCTTAGTGTCCCTGTGAGAAGAGCAATGGCTTGGTGAAAACACAGAGAAGAGAAACCGTGTGAGGGCAGAGGTGGCGATCGGAGCGAGCACCAGTGGAGCTGAGGGACACCACGGGTTGCTGGCAGCCGCCAGATGCTAGGATGGGACAAGGAAGAACTTCCCCTGTGGGATTTTGGTGGGAGCATGACTCCGCCGGCATCTGACTTCACATTTCTGACCTCCAAAACTGAGAGATAATCAGACCTGCTGGTTTTAGGGTGCTCAGTGCACGGGCCTCTGTCAGGGCAGCCTGAGGACACCGAGACGGTGAGGGACCCGGTCCAGCCTGCTGCAGTGAGCGAGGTAGCAAGGGATGGACATGCACTAAGCAAGTCACAGGTAAATGTATAATAGCAGATATACATATACATGACACGTGCCATACACATGTGTGTCAAATACATGACACTTGTCATGGTAGCTGATCTTTATGGGGTGTTCACTACCTACCTGGCACTGTTACAAGGATAAACATACATGTGTGTGTATGTATGCGTACATATATACTCATGTATGTGCGTATATACACAATATGTGTATATATTATAAGTTGTAGTATATAATATATAATATAGTATGTGTATGTATGTATATATACATGTATGTGCGTATATATACAATATGTGTATATATTATATGTTGTAGCATATATTATATAGTATGTGTGTGTATATACACACATGTA